AGTTTCCTCATAAGCAAAACAAGGATATAAAATATACGACTCTCACAGAAAGCTGAGAAGACCTTTAATTCATGATACAGAAGTAATGACATTAAACTACTGCTTTTAAAGAATGAAAAATCACTTTGATTTTTAGTATTTGGTATGCAAATGCCTAGTACACATAACTGAGAAAAGTTTCATTGTGCATGGTACTGTACAAAAACCTAGAAAGAAAATGTTGGTGTTGAAAGGTATGGATATGAAAAACGATGATAGAAACAGAGATAGGCAGCAACTTCACCAAAAAAATTTTTAAATTGTAGACCACATATAAGCATACGTGCCGTAGTAGTTTCATTTTTTGTAAGGATGGAGAAATGTGGTACAAATAGAAGCAGGGTGGAATTAACATTGTTCTCCTCAATTTCAGAACTGTCATTCAGCAAGAAAACAGACACTGGGATTTTGAGAAACATAGACTAAGAGACTACAGAAATCAGAGGCAATGGAAAAACTGAGCTTTTTTATCGAAGACCAGCTATTGTGAAATAAGTACCTTTCATGAAAACCATAAATTTTTTTTATTTTATTCCAAACAGGAAGGAAGACAGACTTCTGAAACTTGAAAATGGTCGTGACAAGAGCCAAGAGAAAGGAAGAGAAGTTTGTAAATAAGAAAATCTCCACAATTTGAGAAACACCAAAGCACGTATCAGGAAGGGAAACTATATGCCTAGCAGCAGATGTGGCTTCAAATTTACTTTCACATTTTTTTTCTTTCTAATTCTTGGAAAATACTAAAGTTTTCTTTGATGTTCCCAATGAAATGGCCCACCAGACCCACCAGGCATATAACAGACTTATAAAACTATTTCCTTTCCATGCTTAGACCAGATAAGTAGATCTTAAGAGGAGAGAGCATTGACAATTTCCTCCACTTTCTGGCTTCTAAGAGGAGTTGTAATGTCACGTTTCTCAGACCATGAGGAGGCATACAGTGATCTGGAGGACCTAATAAAACTCCGGAGACAACATACTCCTTTTTCAATGAAGATATTTCACAGGGGTGTTTCACTCACAAGGGTAATAGCATCTTCAACTTATATCCCCTGTGTTCTCCAAGATTTTAACTTTAGCAGGCTTTAATCTAGCAGTTAGTTTGTCTGATTCCCATTTAGATTCTCCTTCAAAAAATGCTCCTTTGTATTAGCAGCACACAGCTTTGGCCAGGTTCCAAAGGTTTTTTTAAGAAAAAATTCAATGGACTGCTATATAGATAATTTATGCAGAAATTACTGTCAGTCTCATGGGCAACTACCAAGCCTCACTGTGATTGGAACTAATAACTATTACCAAGATATGATAATTTCATTTAACATTAGGAAACCATCTGGTGCCTTCATTTCTTGTTGTAACATAATGCCATTGTTTTACTCAATCCACTCTTATTAAAACAAGACAAAGCAGCTAAGGAAAAACATACACACAGATGATAAATTTGTCCTCTGAATCATCTTTGTGCAACCTCCCCTAAAAGTCATACTCTCACAGATTTTTGGAGTAGAAGGGGACTACTAAATCTAATCTGAGCTCCTGTACAATGAAGGCTATCTATTTCATAGAGTAGCCTCTAAATCAAAAGCATAACCTATTTGGGCTGTGCTGTACCTATTATCCTCACAATGTCTACATGTGATGGATGAATCCAGCATAGACCTAGATATGTTGTACCAGTGGTTAATTACTCCCACTCTTAAAAATATGCACCTTATTTCTAGTCTGAATTTGCCTAACTTCAGCTTTGAAACATTGGATCTCATTATGCCTTTTTCTGCTAGATTAAACAGTCATCTGCCGTCAAAAGTCTCATTCCCATTAAGGCACTTACAGACCATGATCAAGTCACCTCTTAACCTTCTTTTCAGCAGATTAAATAGACTGATCTTCTTTAGTCTCTAACTACAATGCTTATTTCCAGACCTACAGTCATTCTTTCACCTTTAATGAACTCTTTCCAATTTTAAACATATTTTCAAAGTGTGGTCACCAGAACAGGACACAATAGTTCATTAAGAGTTTCCCTAATGCCGTATAATAAGGCAGTGTTACCTCCTACTTGATATTAATTTGTCCGTGTATTAAAGAATATAATATATACCATTTAAAACCCTCCTTCACCTTAATGATAAAACAGAAAGTATTCTGAAAGGAATTTTAAATGTAAATATCCTGGGTTTTTTTACACACGTACATAACTCTTCTGTCTTTTCTATACTATCTGTACTTTTCTATACTATCTACATCCAGTGTCACTCTCTCACTTAAGATATTTTTCTGATAGGTATTTTTCTCCCTTTATCAGTATCCTGTTCTTAAGTGCTTTTTATATTTTTATCTAGCAGTAGTATCTATGAGCTGTTCAGCTCTAATAGTACCTTTAAGGCAATACCTCTTACAGACTTGTGTTAAAATATTTTCTTGCATTTTTATTTTCTTCATGTAAGGAAATTTCATTCCTGAAGCAATTTGCTTATACAAAACTGAAGTATATTTTGAAAACACACAAACACAGATATATTATGTCAACCAGAACTATAGTATTCTGTTTTCTGATAACTGAACCTCATTAGGTAAAAATACCTAATTTTACCAGAAACTTTACTCTAACAGATAGACTGTATACAAACGTTTTGGTTTATCTTTCATGGAATATGTATTTAATTAGATTGTATTCCTTACACAGGTAGCTCTAGTGAATAACATTTACATCAAGCAAACTCTAATTTCCACCTGGAAGTTGCTTCAGGCACTGAATGAATCAAATGAGATTATATAGTTTCCTTTTACTTTTGTTTTTGAGCATGATTTTCACTTATTTGTTGAACTACAAGAACAGTTGTAGCTACTTCTAATGCTTAAGTTTGGATCTATTTCATTAGGTAAATAATACCAATTAATTTACACACTACTAGATAAGACAGTAAACATCAGAAAAACATTTGTAATCATTTGGTTGCTAGCTGGAACAGAAGCTCTTAACTATCAGTGCACTTTCACATCACAAAACACGAACCATGATCTGTTCACAGATAAAGCCCAGAAAATATGTCTATTCAACAGAATAAACCTTAATTTGACTTAAAATGTGTCAGCTGAATAAAGAAATCCTGTGTTTTGTTCTGATTTCTCTTTTTGATTAAAAATGATGAAGGAGAATTCATTAATGTACTAAAAGCAATACCAAATTAAGTGATGTGACACCATAATTCTGTTGTGTATAAATCTATGTTATTTCAACTGCAAACAAAAATCTTCTGTGCCGGATGTGCAATTGCTATTTCATTAGAAATAAGTCCTCTTCCTTTCTTGGATACAATATGCTAGAAAAACACAAAACATATACATAGAAACAGAGGAAGAAAGAGAGCAGAAAGAAAGAATTGTGCAGAAAAAAAGCATAGTATATTAATAAGCAGAGGAGAAAAACATCCAGAGAAACAGAAATAATCTCTGTGTGCTTAAGAAACCCCACAGATTATGCACATTAAAAAAAAAAAAAAAAAAGAATAAGAGAAAAAATTAATGGTGGGGAGAAGGAAAACTAAAAGTTAAGAAGATGCAAAGAAAAGTACTTCTGGCAACCACAAGGAAAGACATCGCTAATTTAAACTTGCTTTCTAATATTTCAGAGTCCATAGTTCAAATCTGAATTAGAACAAGTTCAAGGTTTTCTGCCAGACAAAAATGAAATTACAGCCCTGTAGAGTTTTCTGGTAACTCAATAGATACCTTGCGTCACCTCTTTATGTCCCGAGACTTAAACCATTTTGATTCTTTTTAAAACCTCAGTCTTTAAACTTTCAATGTTGTTTCTTTTAACTGTTTCACATATTTCCTGACATCAAGAGACCTCTGATTGATAGTTACTTCTATTAACTTCATCAGCTTCTTTTCCAACAAGAATTCTGGGGAAAATACTCAGAACCTTCCCAATGTACACTACAAGTTAAGCAGCATAAAAAATTCCAACATACTGAAGTTAAATTGATTTTTATTTCCAAGCAGAAGTTGAAAGACCTATAATTATTTTTAAAAACAAAACTACATGCACACTTCAATTTGCTTTAAAATGACCACACATTCTGCAATTTCTGCACCAGTTTACAGGTTATCTTGGACCTCAGTTTGTCAAATTACAAATGCCAATGTAACAGTCACTGCAAAGCTTTAGGTGACAGCATAACAACTCATAAAACCAGAATATACTAGCTAAATCTTCAAAATCTACAAAAGATCAGACAAATATTGTTAAACACCCCTCTCTCTGGAAGGTTCAAGACACCTCTGTGCTACCAAACACAAGGAATTATAGAACAAACCATTCTCTCTCCCTTCATGCATACTTCTCACTAATTTAAGACCACTTAAATGCTTGATGGAACTAGAAAACAAAGACCTCTCTTTAATCCAGCAGCATATTTCACTATATTTCAAATTGAATTATCTTGGTAACAGGTTAAAAGGAATAGAAAAACTGGAAAAATCTGAGCTTTTTATATGGACCCCAAATTTCATTTAAAAGTTTCTCAAAAACATGAAGTCTAAAATGGTTTTCTCAGTCCAGCCACTGATATCCTTAGTGCAGTCCAGTTACTTGAACAAAGACTACAATTAAGAATAATGCTATTGAACTGATACTGTAACTCCTAATCTGACAAAACTCGTTCTTGTACACAACTATAGGAGATCTGTCTGAGCAAAGTGTTCAGGTTTCTTCACCTAATCCACTGCTAGAAATTCAATTCCTTAAGCAAAAATCATCAAAGACATAGCCTTTTGTTTCACATGAGAGATTTTGCATTTGCTTTCTTTGCTACCTTGCAAATCCCATAAAAAAAGTGATTTTCAGTTGCTTTTGACAGCAGTGGGAATCATATCTGTTGCTCCTCAGCAAGGTGCACAAACTGTCCCCCGATAATCAGGACATAGGACCTTTTCAAACAAAATATAAAGCTTACCTTGAAGAAAGTCATGGTCGCTCCATCTTCAACTGCCCCATACTCTATCTTTGTCTGCTTGGCCAAATCATCAGCAGAATCAATAGGAGATTCCATACGTTCCACTGTCAGAAAGGCGGCTAGGTTAGCAGTATACGAGGAAATGATGATAAGTGTGAAAAACCACCAAATGCCTCCCACTATCCTGGTGGAGAGGGCTTTGGGCATGAGCTCAGAACCTACCGAAAACCAGGGGAGAAAGGTGAAACCAGTGCACAGAAAACAGTTAATAAGTGTTCAGCACTTTTTGCCACAGTGGAGAGATGGAATCACTGTGCAAAAAAATCTTTAAGCTACAGGCTTACACGTACTGCTTGTACGAACACACAGAACTGAAATGAAAAATAAGAACTCATTACACTTATAAAGACAGATCTTTTTTGAGCTGTGGGAATCAAAAGATAGTAATGGGAGACTCAATGATCAGTGCCTTTTTTAAAACTTATATATATATATCTCTTGTTGTGAAAAAAGCAGTTACTTGAACCGGCTTTCCAGAAAAAATCCCAGCTGGATTGAACCTCTAAATTAATACTAATATTGAAACACTTATATAGTTCTTTGTCTTCGAGGCACTAAATAAACATTATTTGTTTTGTAAAAACTCATTTGAGTAAATAAAAATAAGCTATCAATGAAAGGAACAGATATGAAATAAAGTATTTCATATCTGAAATGAACAATTTGAAATCGATTATAAATATGGTTTTGACTGTTGCCATTTGTTTTACCATAAATGGTTTAAAAAATTAACATCTCCCATCTCTATAGTTAGCCCCACAATTTCAGATAAACATGGTTGGCTATACCACACACTTAGTTTGATAGAGCAGCAATGAAAATATTAGACCGCTATGCGTAAACTAGATAAAGATAGATTATAATGCATTGCTGGAGTTGCCTGCTCATGGCACTAAAGAATGAAGGGGGTGACAGGCACTGTATAGTAATTTGCATAATTATTAATGCTAATTTAGAGCCTAATGAGATAAATTGAAGCACATGAACTCCTCTTGTGCCTAATTACTAAAAATAGGAAAAAAAAATCAGTGTAATTTACAACCACAAATATTTATTATAAATGAACATGTATGGATTTTTTTCCATAATGTTATAATTGAATGGAATGAAATTTCTAATGATGTCAAATAAACAATTTCGAGCTTCATTGTAAGAACTTCATGTAAAATCTTTTAGAAGTACCCAGAAACTTGTTTTCAAAGAAACAGTTTTACCATATCCACTATACCATTGTACCAAAACAATCACTTTTTGTTAATTGATCACTATGCTTGTTTTTAAATCTCCTGGGTAAAATGGAATGAAGGCAAGATGGACTATTTTATTACTGTTAAATTTTAGTGTTCATATTGAATTATTTAAGGAACTGGTCCAGCAAGGTAACACATCTTCATATAAATGAAAGATTATGCCAAACTTCCAACGTCAATGCCAAAAAAAGAACAGGAAGGAAAAAAAAGAAAAAAAAAGGAAGAAAACAAAAGAAAAGGAAAAAAGAAGTGGTATCATAACTGGACTATTGTATTCAAAAACAGCCCATCTTACCCTGCAGTTCATCTTACCCTTGCTGTTTCAAACAAAAAAAGCTGACAGACTTGGACATGACAGCCAACTC